GTGTTGTGTCACCACTGAATAGCTTTCACGAAAATTTAATAAAATTCTATCACCTATGATGAAAGATATTTTAGACAAAATACGTATTTATGATAACGTCGGCAACATGTAGCTAGCAGGTTCATTACACCTTACAATAAAGCCCTCTCTGTGGACGAGATGAGCAGGAACACTTAATGGAAATTCTGAAGATAACATTTATTAATAATTTGTTGCGCTGCTCCAAACTTCAATTTTCATATGAAAATTACCTTTATATTAAAAACCTCCTGATCGAATAACGGGCTCTCGTTTTAGTCAGTAATTAGATTTTGAATGCTATTCGCTCAGTCAGCCATCAAACCCGTCCGTATAGCCAATAGGAAGAGCACATTGTCATTTTGGACAGATGAAAGGAGACAATACTTTCTGGTAGTGAACTCTTTGCGTTTAAATTTTACTTTGCTTGAAAACAGAAATACAGTAAACATGGGCGCTAAAAACTATATCCGTAACATTACACGAGTAAGAAAGGACATTAATTCTAAGATTTTAGTTTTTCACGGCGGTCAGTATGAAGAATGCCTTCTTCTGAGAGCCGTCTACTGCAGCCACCTGCTCATGCTGGTTCCCCTTCGCGGATTTTTTATACCCTGAAGATGGAGGCGATACGTTACTCCGAAACATCATTTTACACAATATCTACACGGCACCACATCCCAGAAGACGAATCCTAAATGTGTTTCTTACATTCTCAACAGTACCGCGACTCGTGCTGATAGCGATGCTTATAGTTGCTCAGCACACTTCTTTGTTCTCTTACATACTGAGGAAAGCAGGGGCGAAAGAACCATGTCCTCTTTCAGTTTCGTATAAAGAGGCATAGAATATAAAAAATAACATACTCGTATAGACAAAAACATAACAAATAAACATTCAGGAATATATTTTACATATTGCAGATAGTAAAAAGATAAAAACATACCGACATTGATACGAGCTATATAAATAGCACAGAAAACACATACCGACATTGATATGAGCTATATACACGTAAATAGCACAGAAAACACTGACGCCGCAGAAGGAAGGCAGCATAGGAAAGCGTGAGGAGTGATGTTCTCCAACACATTTCTTATAATGAGTGGATGACAAAAATAGAATTATCGAAATATTTCAACTTAAGAAATAATTAATCACTATTAGATCGAAAATATAGTTTAGCAATTTGACATGTTAGACAGCTGCCTGAAGATGGCTGAGTATGGCCGAATCATGTAACAATATCTAATGGTTAATTTAAAATTTTTATTTTTATGTAAAAAATTAATTGTAAATAAAGTTTCATTTAAGTCGGAAGTGAATTTATATAAGTGATATATTAACGCAACAGAATGCTGAAATACAAGATCATACAATAATCACATTTAGGGACGGCAAACCATAATTCTAATCAAATCTGTGAGCAACAAAATCCGCCAGCAAAATTTCGCGGTAGTTTAAGTATTGCAAAGTTGCTTCGAAAAGACTAAAGTGAAGATTAAAATTGTCAATCTTAACATCAGGGGAAAAACAGCGATTATGAGTAAGCAAGTTACCTTGTCAAAGTGGCTTCTACCCATACAAATTCTTCAAGATATTCTGTGTTTAACGCCATAAACTGCTCCAGAAACAACAACAAATGCCCCTCAATGAGTAAGTCTGTGTAGCTCTCAGAATTATATAGAATATACATATGAGGAAGAAAGGTGATTAGAGATTTCCTTTAGTCACCTCCTCCTTAGACGAGTACATGTAATTTTAAAAACAGAATAGAGCACACTGTTGAAAGTTTCAACTCAATTATTCCTACAACGAAGAATATTCCAATCAAAAATCTAAATACTTTCCTCGCATTTAAACTATGTCTATTAACACCATGAAGGGAGCTATTCTTCACACGCTACATCAAGAGCTCCGTTTGTCCCCCTCAGCTTTTTTCCTTTTTTTATATTCTCTTAGTTGGGGGTGGAGTCCTCCTGGCTCCACTCGGCACGGCGGCCACTGATTGGCCTATTGTAGCCTGCCCCGGGTGTTTGTGATGATGGAGAATTTGGAGGAATGAAGATTGGCATGGGAAACAGAAGTACTCGGAGAAAACCCGCCCCAGCACCACTTTGTCCACCACAAATCCAACGTGACCAGGGCCGCCGCGGTGGGAAGTCAGCGACTAACCGCTTGAGCTATGGCGCGGTCTGTTTTCGGTTTGACGTGCCTATTCAGCGTGTTCTACAGGAGGTTGGCCCACCAGCTTCAGTTAAACTGGAAACTTCAGGAGAATTAATATGACTTGGTCAGCAGCCAAATGGCTACTAAGCACACTCCGACGTTACTAATTCAGGAAACTCTTCCTCATTAATTGATACATGGAAAGAAGCTTCAGATCGGAATGTACTCCTAAGCCTGGTGCACGTGAGCGAAGAGGATTTCAAACGGCCCCTTAACGATTTGTCCGTATCAGTGGAGAATCGAGAAACGAACAGAGAATTATAGCCCCTCATACAACAGTGGGGGGGGGGGTAGCTCTGCACCACAGTCATTACAAAGTCACTGACAAATGGCAATGTATACATATATGTCGTTATGAATATCAACGTTATTATTATCGAAAGCATTTTAAGGGGAAAATTGGAATATAAGTGTATAAAATTACAAAATTATTGTGTGTCACTGAGTAACAGCCAGGTGCCGAGGTTACATGCTCAACAGAAAATAATCCGAATTCAATAAATTAACAGCATTTCAGGAACTTCCATCAGAGAGATTTGAAAAGCAGATAAGAGAGTAACAGAAAAGCAAGAACATATACTGTGTGTTTAATTGGCAGGCTTTCATTGAAACAGAAAGTATAATGCAAAACCGAACTATACGACTGTACCATGTAGGAAAAATATTTCTTTTCGAGATCATTCACAGGTTCTGATTCATTAGAGGTGAAAAGTGAAAAGAATGGACAACGCAAAAAAAAATATCGTTCTTTAATTCTAAATAGAAGACAGGCGCTACTTAAATGCGTAAGTATAAAAAACTTCCATTAGTTTTCTCTGCTTATAAGGAAAAGCATTTGCCATTTAAATTTTTAAAAATATTGATTTCATATTCATATTACCCGAGATTCGAAAGTGTTGGATGACGCTATAGCTGAATTCGTCAGATCCATGGAAAGGCCATCAGACTCTCTATATTTATATCCTTTACAGAATCACATTTTGAGCGAAACATTTACCCTCCCAAATTACACCAACAAAGAGCTGTGGCCTCATGTGCCACACGGTTCACTTTCGAAAAGACACCAACTAATGCAAAAGATGGACTCCAGCTGTAATCTAAGAAAATAGGCGTCGATTTCCACGTGTATCCGTATTAAACGAGAGAATAAATTGTAAATAAGAGGAAATTTTTAAAATTAAAAAGGGGATTTCTTATAAAACAACATCCTCTAAAATACTATGTTCCTGTATACTATTCATTGTCATTTCTTATCTAAAATACAGTCCGGATATAAGGACTATATAATTTGGGCCAGACTGAGTAGGTATTACCCGAAGACGGAGAAAGAATCCAGTCTTCGAAATTATAAATAAATATTAAATAAGAACAGGACGATGTATAATGTGCAGAAACATAATATTTGCGTTAAGGTACCATCGCCTAACCTTCAGGTCGTCTTTACTCCTTCTACTTCTCGTGTTAGGCCCTCTTGCCTCTTTCCCGTCAGAATTAATATGGGACTATGAATTAAAGCCAGTCGGTAGGACCTCTTGGGTGGGTTATCAGCCCTGGTGCAGGGCTGCTACCTACACAGACAACAAACGCAGAAAATATGCGGCCAGACATGCATGTCTCGAGTAGGATTCTAACCGACGATCCCGAGGTTTTAACGGGCGGAGAAATTTCACGGCTTAGACCTCACGGTCAGTGCGACAACTGGATTTTATTCTTGCAAATTTTAACTTTGATTTCAGATGATGTAGGAGAAATAGGACTGGTTATGGAGAATTATATCCTTATAGTCGTTGGAATCAAACGACGTTTCGGCGGATTATGACGTCTCTATTTTAAAGGCAGAAGAATAAGCCAAGCAAGAAATAGACAGTGAATCAAATGATGGTTTCCAAAATTCCCAGAATTACATGGGCCAGGATGCATGCCTAAAATTGTACCTGTTCTTCATTAAACACTACACCTTAAAGTCATAAGGGGGAGTGGTGGAATTGCTCCACGAATTCTTAATTTTAACACTAGTTGGGGAAGAACTGTCAGCTTCATACCCCGATCGCTTGTCCACAGAAGACAGAGCCTTAGAACAGGTTTGGAAGTACTGGAGCGAGAAAATTCTGCTTCCTATCGGGAATCGAACCCAGATTATCCTTTCCTCCAACCAGTAGCATAGCTGAGAGATAAAAAAGCCACGCTCATAAGGCATGCCTACTGTTCTAAACTCTCATTTCAGTCATAAATGATGGGTCGTGGGACTGCTGGAATTCGTTCGTAGACAAGAAATTATAATCTGACTCATCCGGTTATAATAACAAGAAATCCTGGAAGATATGACAAGCACCGCTTAAAAGATGCATTCAGAAATTTTTCTATTTTTGTCTGTATTATTTGCAGCGGGAACATGTGTATTTAGCCGTTGCCTAGCAAACGATATGGGGATACAAATACGGAAACACAGACTAATGGGAGGGATTTATGACGTTGAAGTGGGTTTAGGTGTCATGATTTACGTACTACGGTTCACAAAGAATGGTTCAGGCCTTCAAAAGGTGAAAGGGAGGATATACAGACACATACAGAGCAAGGTGACGTCATAAGCCTACTTCTTTCAATACAAGGAAATCAGGAACACCGGGAAACGTTGAATCAGAAAGCTGTTGCAATGAAACTCACGTCCTATCAGCGAACTTTTTGTGAAGAATGCCAAAAGAGGAATCTTTAACCAAATATTCTTGTGTAAGAACGTGACGAGACTGCATTACCTGTCACCTTTATGGCCTGCAGCCTGGACACAACCAGGATCGGGGAGTTCCAGACGAGGCTAGCGAGCCACACCATGACTATCATCTTGTAGGCGTGAAACTGAGTTTGCCAGCGCCGAGACTTGAGAGGGCGGCAGATAGCGAAGTAGCGCTCCAGAGAAATGGCTACCAACGTCCACACTCCCACCGAGACAGATACCGCTGCAACACAAAACAGGATGACAACAATTAAATTTCGTTGCAACTTCCAGAGTACAAATTTTCCCGTCAGTGCTTATTTCTTGCCACATATAAACATTTGAATTTAGTAGCGCAATGAACATAAGACTTGTAGTTACGTTTGAGATGAAGAGTAACACCTCTTGAGATGTGACACAGTGCATCCTGGCCTCATCCCAGAAGACAGTATATTCTTCACAGCCGTTGCTATGAGAACCTCTAATCTAACATGTCAATGATATTTTATAATTTATTTAAGTAAAATCAATGCATTAACAAGAACTATCACCGTATAGATTGCTCTATAGACAACAAGGTATATATTTCATATGCATAATTTTAGACCCCATATTAACATTCTGAAATCAATCAAGAGCCCGCAGACGGAAGTTTGGCCAATAAAACTGTAAATAAATTGCGAATTAACCTAATGCATTGACCCTGATCACAATCGTGTCTCTTTCTTCCATTTTGTTGTAGTTTGTCACAATCTCTATCAATCTTTGCACTTGCTAATGTTGGTAACGCGGCAATATGTAAAGTTATGTGCCAATGACATGTGAGGTTCGTGCTGGGTGTCGCCCATTCTCTGAGGTATCCTTGAATTTTCGGAAGTTGCCTCTATCCACGCTCTTCTTGAGGTGGCAGATATGTCTTACTGTCATATTAGTAGTGGCAACTGGAATCGAACTCCATATATTTTGAACACTAGGCTAGTACATTGACGTTAGAATGCCAGTCAGTATGATAACAAATCACGTTAAGATGGGAGTAGTATCCAAGTCCCGAAACATCCTGTGTGTGTGAAAAATACGTGAACATTTGACACTAATCACCATAATATTCGTACAATAAATCACCAATATTATCAAATATTTATCAGTAATTAATCAGTTCTCTACTATTTCAGCTAAAATAGCTTCTGAGTAGTTAGAAGTATAAATATTACTATTTATTTCACTAAATTAATTAGAACCCCCTTCATTAGCTGCAACCAGTTGAACCCTGCAGTTTCGCTGTGCACGTACTAGCAACGGAAAGTGGAGGGAGCGAACCAATAAGAGTACTGAAATACTGCATTTAAAATTGGAAGTGGAGGCATATGCATAAATCAACAAGGTAACCAGCGGGGGATGTAAATTCAATTTTAATCACTGTGGTTCGAATTGTAGATTGCATATCTCTTTGGGATGCAGTGAAACTATGATTATAGATAGAAATGTCTATGAATATAGGAACACTCCACCGTTACGGATCAGGATATCGGTGTAACAGAAGCTTAATCTCACCTCCGTCGATAACATGAAATAACTTTTCGTCTACAGTTTTACTGGAAACATTATTCGATGTAGGCTCTTTCTTCCTCGCTTGAATATGATACATAACGTCGGATAGAAAGGACGATCAGAATGATAACATTAAAGGAAATAGTCTTGACATGTTCTGATATGGTATCACAGAATTTTCTTCGAGGTACTGACAAAAACCACTAAGGCCTTGTCAGGAGAGCTGCATTCTGAACAGAATATACAACTCGGAACACATGAGGCACATGGATAATCACCAAAATTGTAGTTCGTTTTTAATATTATTATTACTAAGCTAACGTACTCGCTAATTTTCATTTCATGTATCCTGATGTGTTACAGTATATACAACTTATTTATTTGACAGTCACAACACAACAATAAAAGAACTTCAAGGACAATGCCCAGATATAGTTATGCTACATGTTTCGGCCACTAGTGGCCATCATCAGGCAAACACACTTCAACAAAAGTACACCACTGAACTGCAGTATGCAACATTTAATACAATCTCATAAATCATTTAAGATGATGAGGCTCCAACTGTTCCATTAATTATTGGGCATCCTATACAATTTTATAATGAAACATTGAAATTTACTATTTGTCGACGGATACGTATGTAAAGTGGAACCAACGACTGATTCGATGTTAAAAAACATCAATCAAATTTTATTTTTTTTTATATATGACTTTTATTAGTTTTAAATAACCTACTTATTGTATTCTTATTGCAAATTATCTTAAATGATTTATGAGATTGTATTAAATGTTGCATACTGCAGTTCAGTGGTGTACTTTTGTTGAAGTGTGTTTGCCTGATGATGGCCACTAGTGGCCGAAACATGTAGCAGAACTATATCTGGGCATTGTCCTTGAAGTTCTTTTATTGTTGTGTTGTGACGGTCAAATAAATAAGTTGTACTCGCTAAATTGACCTAGCATTGCAATTATAATCAATGCCTATTTAATAAATAATCAGAATGTATTTACCATGGTTAAAATGAATATATGTGAAGGTTACGTGTTCTGTGATGTTATTTATGATTGGCTTTTTGGATGAAGAAGTCATGCCTCTTATGTTTTCCTGACTAAGAATGACAATTACATCTGTATCAGTCCAGTGTCACTTGATAATCACTTAGTATCTCTCGCATTCATCTTCACTGAAGAAAATAAATTACTCCAGAAGCTTACATGAGTGCATTAAACAATAAACTGCTTCCTTTCGTGTCCATATAACATTACAATATATGGCTATTGTGATGAAAGAGCCTGTAAATTAATATGCAGCTAAAGGATTACTTAATGATTATAAGAGCACTTATAAATATTATGTCTTCAAAACATGTTGTTTTGTGTTTCAACCTGTACATATTTCAGTCATTATGGCTTCTGTAGAGATCGCTGTTCACTAATTGTCTGCTACGTTTCGGGCTTCCGGGCATCAAAAGGTATGCACACTCACTGCACCCCCTTCATTGGTTAATATATAAGGGGGGGGGGGAATTATGCTGTAGTCAATAAACGTATACTGTATCTATAGTGAAGTTGTGACGACGGAAATGAATATAACTGGTAGAATATTTGTTGTTCTAACAAAAATAGTGTTCTTCTTAAGAGAGACTGAATATATATTTACTTTAGAAATTATGTATGTAACCTCAAAATGAATACACGTAATTCTTCATAGTTCTCCTTCATAAATAAACAAATTTTGTATTTATACTTTTCCATTCCCATTACTGTCTGTCTATCTATCTAGCTATCTATCTGTCTGTCTGTCCGTCCGTCTGTCTGTCCGTCTATCTGTCTATCTATCTATCTGTCTATCTATCTAGAGCCCTTCACTGTGCCACTTTGTCCTCTACAAATGCCACATGACCTGACGAGGGCTTGAACCCGGGCCGCCATAATGGGAACCCAGCGACCAACCGCCTGAGCTATGGCATGGCCTAATAATTCAGTTGCTGAAATCGTGTAATATGTTTTCATGCACCAACGGCTGTACGTCGGGACCAGTGTGTCCCAATCAAAACATGTAACTATAGAGACTCATGGAAAGAAATAAAAAATAAAATCGACACCCAATTGCCACCAACAAAATCGGAACATTATTTATTTAACACATTCGTCATATTCGAGTTATGAATACACGAATGAGGTCCACTGAGGCCCGAGCTTCATGTGTTTTTACTTTTCCTCGTAAAATGAACGATACAGTCATTCAGAACGCGCAATATCCAACTTTCACCGGCCTGACATGACATGGGGAAGTGTCATGGGACCCGACGAATCACAGCAATAATAATGGATGAGTGGTCTAATATTTTATGACAGTAGATATATTCGCTTCTGGGCATGTTATTGGAAAGGGACATGGCAAGCTTTCATTTGCACAATTACATCCGAATGAAACATAAATAAACCGCAGTGCACGCCACTGAAAGGACAATGCCACGACCTGTCACATTCATACCGTTTACACGTAAATGTCAGTAAGAAAGAGATTTCTGTGTTTAGTTTACGGTGCTGACGTCACTGAATGATAAATCAATCAATACAGTCGTGGCATTTTAAACCATAAACTGTCTAGGTCAGTAAAATTAAAAGGCTGAAATTTCAGTTTTTGCTAAAGATAATTCTATCAATTTTTGCGAAACCCTGCATTGATCCAAAAACCAACTCCATGTAGCAGAAATCTTCTTGAGAAGGCAACAGAACTCAGGTAGACAAGATATTCACCCCCTTGTACAGACCTGAGTTTCATTACCGAGTTAACAAAAGCCCGGAACTACTCCCTATCCTAAGCGAAATGATTTCATTCCACGTCCCTCACAATTCACTTCCGATTCTCAGAATTTTACGGAACCCGAAGGTTCATTACCGTGTTCACAAGAGCCCTTCACTGGTCCCTATCCTGAGCCACATCAATCCCAAAGATACCTTCCCATTCTATCTCTCTAAAATCCATTTTAATATTGTCCACCCGCCTACGCTTTGGTCTTCCCAGTCGTCTCTTTCCTTCCGGTTTTCCCCACCAATATCCTATATGCATTCTTCTCCTCCATTCGTGCTACATGCCCTGTTGACCTCATCCTCCTTGACTTGATCATTCTAATACTTTCCATATATTGATAAACTGCAGAACTAACTTGCTGTTACAGCACTGAAATCTCAATGAGAGAAAAGTTTCTATTTAGCCAGTTCCTTGTTCTCCAACATCCATACTTTTAAATGGATTTATGGTGTATTTAACGACGCTGTAAACACTTCAGTCTATACAAGATCGGATGAATGTTAATAATGAATTGGAATGGGTAGGAGGAAGCAGCGGATGGGGTCAAATTTAAATAACATCCAGGCATTTGCTTGCACTGACTGAGCAAAACCACGAAAATACCAGCCAGGACGGTCTGCATGCCGGTCGAAACTCGAATAAGATCAATGCAGAAATACAAATCAGAAACATTGTCACTTGGTCCAACTTGGTCAGTTGAAAGCATAAAGAAACTCCGTGGTTTTAGTCCGCAAGCGAACTATACCGACCGAGCGACCGCCGCTTGTCGGCGAAGTTAGTTTAGCGGATAGAGGGTGTCGCGTGGTCAGCGCAACGAATATCCACGGCCGTTAATTTCGGTTTTCTAGACCAGAGCATCTACTTTTCCATTCAAG